TTTTGAGGCAAGGCCCTAAAGTTGACCTCAAGAAGAGCAAAGAACCAGGCAGGGCATAGTAGCTTGGAGCTGGGTTGCAATGCTTTCTGTCAGCTATGAAAGAGGTTTGGGTTTTTATTCTGCTAACACTGTTAACAAATTTTAAAGGAATCTTTAAAACTAATAGGAAACAGCTGGATCAAAGTCTCTAACAGAGCATATATATGTATAGATCTTTAGTTTACATATATATAGATATGCATGTGTGGGATGTATAAAAAGCATGTTTAATAGCTGGGTAGATGGACAATTCTTAATTCTTCCCCTCCCCTTTAATATAATTTAAATTGCTACAACTAAAATATGTTTATTAAGATGGCTGAATTCAACAGAAATATATTCATTCCAAAAACAAAATTAGCTTTCTTTTAAGTAAACAAAAATATCTTGATGACAATCGGAAAAGTATCCTTTAGTCAAAACAAACTACTTTGATGTCTTGAAACTTGTTGATGATATAGCAATTTATGTATATATAAGATCTTTTCAGTCTCTGTTAGTATATTGAAATATCATCATGTATCTCAGAGCAAACTGCTACAATTTAAAATAATTTTAACTGAGATTTGAGATGATTCTGCCTAGTTTTCTAATTTCAAACATATCAAAGACTGGCATTTTCCCCCTATATTCAGATAAAAAAACTTTTTTGTTAAATTTCTGGAATAGTTTTGTTAATTGAACCATAAAGTACTTTTTATTTATCAGAGCACACTGATTAGCAGTTCTTTTTCCTTAAAGAAAGGAAGATTTTTCTAAAAAGAAATGTCAAATATTTCTGGCCACATTAATATTTAGAAGTAAAATGTTAAAATAATATAATTGAGCCAAGATTGCTCATTTCTTTTACTCTCCCCTGAGGTATGCCTCGGGAATAAATACTGAGGGAGGTTCATTCAAATAAGGAGTCTCCTAGTGGCTAAGAGCAACTAAGTATATTCTAGGTCCCTAACTTATTATCAGAGTGACTTAAGCTCTGGAGAAATTTTGAATCACTAATCTAAAACCTAGGTTATGTCAGTGAATTTTTAAGAGTACTTTGTAAGGATTATATGCAAACATTTGAATAAATGCTAAGTACACCAAGGTTACTGAATATTAGTCTTACTAAGAATTAGCACCAGCTAATGTGTTTGTCTTTCTTTGGTTAAACTCATTTCACAGTAACATTTACTTTTATCAGGCTCAAAAGGGGCAGGTAACCTAAGGGAAAAAGCCACAAAATGTCTTCATGAATCATTTCTCTTAATGTATAGAAGCATCATCAACATAACTTAGGCTTCTTTATCAATATGGTACATTAAATAAAAAAATGAACATTGCCAATTATACCCAAGACATTAAAAATAATACACTAACATATTCAAATGAAACATTGTCTTTAAAATCAAAAGGTAACACAATACTTTCTAATGTTAACTAAGGCTATGCATGATCCAGAATAAACTGGTTTTATGTAACTATTATTAGCACTGAAGCAGTTACAAATAAACAGTCATTTAAAAACAATAGTCTGAATTCTAAGTGCAAAAAATCAACCCAATTTGCCTTACAGTTTAATACAAGCAGAACAATGAAGACAAATTTTAGAATATAAATAGCCAGTTAAAATTTAATCACTATTCAATAATTTAATCTTTATAATACAATGTTTTGATAAATTCTGACCACAGCCACAGATATATTTCTTGCCAAAGCACTTCTCTTCTTGCTCAATGTGCAGCTTCTACATCTAGTTCAGTTGTTCTTCATTCATGGTAACACAGGTGATTACATTCAAATGGCATTTAACATAAAATTATACCAACCTGCCCTATAATCTCATTTTAGATTGAATTAATTAACTTCTCTGTAGGTGGCTGAGATGTTGAACATAAGCCTAAAGAAATACTTGACTGCTTAACCTACCTGGCATAAATTGTCTCTAAATCAAGGCATTTTCCATTTTTAATAAACAATACTAGATAAACACATTTAGGAGACTCCTAAAGAGTAAAGATAAGATATTTATAATAAATGGATTTCATTTTCCACATACATACACTTCCATTCAAAAGAAGTCAGGGAGCACTGCATATAGTTAAGGATTTAACAAAACTCACTAAGAGTTGACATGCCTGATATTTTAAATCTGTTTATCTGAGGAGGTGTGTATTTATAGTAACAAAATGCCTTCTTTGTCCTTGTAAGATGCTTAAATACAAAGCTCATCACTTGTAGCAATTAAAAATTAATACTATTTTAATGCTGTTGTAATTTATGTCCCAGAGCTTAAAATGTAAATGTAATTGTCTAAGTCATTACTTTCAGATCATCAGAATTATCATAACATAATAAAATATCTATTCTTTCTATTATGTTTCTCCAATTATAATATTATTCTTAAGATCTGACAGCTAACTGTTTCAAGTTTATAGTCTTCATATATCAAGAAACAAATTAAAGGGACAAACAAGGAATGTGAAAAGCAAGCTCATATAAAGTTGAAATGTCTTTTATTACAAGGCATACTTTTCTATGCCTTGTAATAAATTTATGGCTTGTCATAAATTTCCAGTTTAGGAAATGAAAACAACAAATCCTTCTTCTGACAAACTCCTTGACATAGGGTTTAAATCCATATTTTTAGATTTTTATTTTATTTTATTTTTTTTTACTGTGGAAGAAAGGAAAGAAGTGAGGTTGGGAAGGAGGGAGGTAAAGAGGTGATAGGTGGAAGTCCCAACTTTCCAGTCTATCTTTTGGGAGAAGTGAACAAAATTTAATGAGTACAATATGAAATGAAGTATAGCTGAAGACTTCAGTCCAATCTGCAACATATAAAGGGAGATGACTGCCCAGTAATAGTAAGAATAACATGAATAATTTTGGGCAATGGGTTGGGGTGGGAGTGTGGTCCTTAGTCAGGCTTACCTAGATCATTCTAAGTAAAAGGGCTCAACCTTGTTTCAAAGTGCCCCACTGAGGGCACAACTGTTAGGTGGTTTCTACTGAGTAAATTCCCTTCCCTGTACTATTTAAATCCTTCTTGATATGATATGCATGAGGTAAAATGAAAGAATTAATATGGAAGTTTTTAATACTGCTTTGTTACAAGGAAGGCTTCATTCAACTACAAAAGAAAAAAAAAATGCTTAGATGCCAGTTTCAGAAACAAAATTGCCTGCAGCATCTTCTAGCTCAATAATTAAGTGACAGTCACAAATACTGTCAAAAACATCAGTGAGATTAAAAAAAAAATCCAAATAACATCATTTAGATTTTTAGTATGCCATTTGCTGAGTTAGAAAACACAACAAAAAGTTATAAGCCTTCAGGTTGGAAGAAACAAATTAATCCTACCTTTTTAGGTTACATACACATGATTTTTTCTAAAGTCTATCAGTCAAAATATAGGGTTTCTTTCTCATCAAAAACCATGTCTATCCGGGTGTCCCAGTCATAGGAGATCTCGTGTCATTATTCTCTTGAGTCCCAATTCTTACTAGCAGTCCTGGGTAAACAAAGTAACCTGGCAGTTACCTCATTATTAAAGTGAAAAAAGACTTTGCTATATAAAAATAATAAAAGGCTTCATTTAAATTAATGTTATTTTTTTTCAAGCATTCAATTTTACTTTGTAATAATGTAGTTCTGATCCAAATGGAGTTCTTACAAGCTTTAAAAAGACCTCCAGAGATTATATTCAGGGCAGTAATTTAATTCTTTTATTTTTATTTCTTGCAATGACATTTGGGGCTCAGTGTGATTTGAGATTTTTAGTGCTATTGCTGACACCTTATGGAAACTGTTTTATTTGGAAATTCTCATCAGATTTTTAAAACTATTCAGCTCTTGTTTACAAGAAGCATGATTATAAAATATATATATATTGCTCCTTTAAAGTATTAATCCGTTTGCTATTTATTCCTTACTTGACTTCATAATCCTGTTTGGGTCACTATGATTAGTTGCTATAGAAATTACCTCCTATGGAAATTATTCTGATGTCATTGTTATAAGAATATATCTTTTAGTAGTAATATCAATAGCAGACATCAACTGCTTACTAGAAAAAGGAAATCTAATTAAAAAATATAAAAAGATTAATTCTGACAATACTTTCATGGCCAACTTTTTTTTATATTTTTGAATCTCCCATCTGTTTTTTAAATAAGTATTAAATGAATTTTAAAGTGTTAATCAGCTACTCACTTCCCCAAATTCCAATGCCACAATAGAAATTAGCACTATACATAGAAAAGTGGAAGTAAAGAACATTTAAGTCTACCTTTTCTCTAAACTAATAAATGTTATGCTTCACTTACAAGAGTTAATGCCAACAGGATTTCAGGGCTCATCAAAGAAACAGCTTTGAATAACACATTACAAATTCCCTTTAAAGATGAAGAATTTAATATTCCAAAATTTATCCCAGGAATTTGAAAGGTCAGTGAGTTAACTAGTGAGTTAAACAATAGATGAGAGCCAGTGAACCATTAGATGAGAATTCCAGAATGCTAAGAAGAAAATTTTCTTGGGTGGATTCTATAATTTGTGGTTTGAATAAAACTTTTGAAACATTCCATTACTATTAAAATTCTCACAATGAGAATATGGCTCTTATTTAACACATTTTAAATTACTAGACAGTTTTTCCCCAAAGAAATTTTAATGCTTTCTTCTGCCTAGTGCTTGTTCACTGCCTGGTACTAATTTAGGAATAAATTAACCCTTGTAACAATTAGGATATTGTCTAGAAACCGCCTCCTGCACTCTGTTAGGGGAGTCACTTATATTCTGAAAATCAGAAGTAAAAGATAAATGTATTTCTTTAGTGCAAGACTTTGTTACTACCTAACAGTTACTATTGATTTGAATCACTATCATTTTTGCCTACATCATTACGTACATCTGTAGTGGCTCTGAATGAAGTCACACAGTTATAGATCTTGTTAAATGTTTAATACATTAAGGGTATCCTATACTTGTGCCTGCAACCGTGATCTAGGGTCTAAAACGTCTTTGATAGATTTCTGTCTTGGAGCTGGCACTGGCTTGGCTTCAAAATTGGTTTTAGTGTCTGTGTGTTCACCATCAGTTAGACTATTTTTCTTGGCAGGAAGGAGGTTTCGAGGAGCAGCCACTGGTTTCTGTAAGTGATGCATTAGAGTTGATAATTTGGTATCTGAAGGCGAAGTCTGAGATACACTTGTTTTTTCCCAGTTGTCCTTAACCAATTGATCTGTGTTACTCTGTGTTTTTAACGTGAAAGGCACTTTATCAGTAGGAGGAAGGGGGGCTCGTCTTTTTTTCCTTTTCCCATCATGTACCTGCTCATCACTTGCAGGAGATAATACCTTTTTCTGGATGACCACTTGACGATTACCGTCAAAGAGTGTGGCCCAAGGAGGTGGTGAGGATTCTTCCTGTTGGCCAATGAGGAATTGTCCATTTGTCTGCTCAATTTTTTTTTGTATTATCTCAGTTATACTTTCAAGTTTCACAGGTGAATCAATGCCTACAAAATTTTAAGAAAAAAGTACACAGGAAAAATTTCAAAGGCAGTATTTACTTTGCCTGTTACTATTTTTCAAGCCAACATGTTATCTATAACAATAATACAAGTGTATTTTTATATAAGCTTTCAGTTGCAAAAATAACCATACCAATAGAGCCCAAACATAAGGAGATCATGCACTGTGCTTACCTCTCACTTTTTCAGACACATATGCACATACATATAAAGTTAAGCTTTCAAAGAAGTGCTTTTATAACAGTACTTTTTTTCCAATTCTATACTTTTAATTATTTATTAAATAACCATTTTTTTTAGATTTAAAATCTTTTATTTTTATGTGTGAGTGGTTTCTCTTTCTTCAAAGCTTGATATATTAAAAAAAATGGGACAGAACCAAATGGATTACTATTCCATTCTGTCAACCCACAAAGTCTCTGCTAAATGGGAAAAATCCAAAACCAAAACTCAGGGACAGAGAAAGATTTGATACCACATTGATACAAATCCTGGTGAAATTTTCACTTAGGAAAAATCAGAGAGATAAATGTCTACTGTATGAATCAATCACTGGTATTTTCAAATGTGTAAACACAAATGTGTCATCAGTGGAAGCACCAAGCAAAATAGATTAAAATTTAACATTGACTTGGGCTTGTTCACAAACTGCTCACTGAAGGAATTCCACAAAGAAATACCTTTCAAAATGTGGGGAAAATGGAATATTAATGAGTCTAGAAATTTAAAAATTTCCAAAGTGTTAACCACTTTTATGGCCTAAGATGAAAGCTTTCATTTATTCATAGTCATTCATTAGCACTACTTTAAAACAAATTCAATAAAATACAGAAAAAGAATTACTGACCATTATTTTACTTTAGAATCTGCAAGTTTACATTTTCAGACTTTTCATCAGCTACTCAGCTAATATTTATTTTCAGTGTACCCTTTTCCATTTTGAAGTTTTAACAGTTTTGTTTGATCTTAAGCATTCAAACTATAAAAAATGTGTATTCATTAATTTTGCATTAATTCATCTATTAAACATGAGTTCCTTAGTCTATAATCATAGTCTTTTTCCATTCATTTTGACTGTGCCCTGCAAATTCTAGCATTTTAATGTCAATAGAATAAGCTGCTTGAGTAGGGACAATGTTGTTTTTGTTACCCTGCAGCTAAGAAAAGACAAACCCCACTTACTCATATCATAGTAGACTGAGGTCGCTGCTTTTGTCAAGAACAAAGGTGGTTTCCGTGGTGACATAATCTCAATTTTCATAAGTTCTTCACAACAATGCTTCCATTGGCCTAAAAAAAGCCAAAAAAAAAAAAAAAAAAGGCAGGCTAGTTTAAAACATAAATGTGAAGATATATATTTCAACAAATATCAACACATTTTGCTTTGAAAAATAAACAGTGAATTTATAAATACTGCTTCAAAGAAGTCACAAAAACCTAATTCTAACCATAATTTCAAAATTCAAGTCCAGGAATAATAATCTTAAAAAATAAAGATCCATGCATAGATATTAAGCTAAAGTCTCTACACTACTAAAATCATTAAATGGTACATATCTAAAATTTCTGTTCATGGCAAACTTTATTCAAACAAATTCTCTTCTTTTAATTATTAAAAACATCCAGCAGGTAGGACAGTTGAAAGACATTTGACAATTGAAAATTTTATGATCTACATTGCCCCTTTTAATGTATTTTCAATCTATAGTTAACATGGAATTCAGTTATTCTTAATGGCTTAAAAATTAAAGACATTTAATAATTAGTCAAATTATTCATTCATTTGTTGTTTTCAGTTCTCATATAATTGTCATGGTAAAATGGTAACATGTACATAAACTTTAACCTATGAGCTTAAGTTAAAAAAGATAAATCTTTTAGTATGTTTTATAATAATACTAAGTACAAGATATGGTAAAAATTTAAACTAATCCACACGGTATTTCAAAAAGGGAATAAAAATCTTGATTTTGAGGCTTCAAAGATTGCTGTACAGAATTGAAATCTGGAAGGATCTGAGATCTGATAACTTATTCCTCCCCTCCACTTCCTTTTTTAGATAAATATATAAAAGCTAGCATTTCCTTCTTGAGGGTAGGAAAAAAAAAGCCCTTAGCTAATGGAAAAATAATAAAACATTTTAACCTGGCAAACATTTCTCTGTCACAATTGTAGACAAATTACAAAGTGCAGTTATTTTCTCTATGTAGACAGAGGAAAGCTTTTCATTGTTATACATGTAGCAGAATACTAATCATGTTGAAAATTGGAATAGAATGCTACATTATCCCATGTGTCATTAAAGTTGGAAGTACAAACCTCGTGTGCTCACTAGTCAAGGCTTTACAACTGAAAAATTTACATTACTAGTGAGTAACTAATATTTACAGTTAAATGATACCAATAAATTAATTGAAATAAAGGACCAGTATTACAGATTAAAAAATACATTCTGTTTATATAAAATCTGTATTTTGAACAAGTTTTCCATACTATTTATTGCTATACTGCTCCTAGTCAAAATAATCTGCTAAACTGCTCATGTAATCCAATATTTACATTACTATATTTTTGAAAAAAAATATCTTTGACCCAGCAATAAATTTTTGTTCATCCATAACAGGTGTCATTCCTCTATTACATGTTTATTAGGTCTCAAATGCTAAAAAAAAAAAAAATTATAGCACCCCTCCCGCCCAGCCTCCGCCTCCTCAGGCTGTTTTACAGGCTAAACATATCCAGTTCCAAAGTCTTCTCATTTCTCCTGATTTCCAAGGCTTAAGTGGAGACAAATAATTGAAATTTACTCTAAATATTGAATTACTCTTACTTTATCCTGCTCTGGACAGCTACCCATTTATTTATATATCCTAGATATCCATCCTCTCTACTTAGCTCCAAATATCTGAACTTTACCTAAGAACACGAGAGTGTACATTTATTATCAGGAAGGTAAACATTTTAAACTCAAACAGTTTTTAGGATAGTATAAATATTTCCATCTTCAATTTATACTTCATACATAATGAATTCTAAAATGCAAATGCAATAACTTATAGTATGTAAATTAGATAGATTGGCAGATTTTATCCCCAAAGTATATATATACTAATGTAGCCAGACGTGAGAATCTCATTTTCATGACTTACTATTTAAAGTAAAAAATGTCATGAGAGTCTTACCCCCTCCTACTCCCAAATGTAGTATGATAAATTATTTTCTATAATCTAGAGAATGAAAGCATCAGATTATTTAGTAGTAGTTGATATCTACACAACAATATTCTGGTATTTTTACCTCCTTTTACCCATCTTATCTGACTTTATATATACAACAAATTTGAAAATACCACAGTCATCTCTAAAATAAACAGGCCTTTTTTTTTTTTTTGTAAGATGGCCTCTGAATCAAGAACATTTAAGAAAGCTGTTAAAATTTTAGTTGTTTAGGAAGTTGACTTAAGTTACACACCTAAAATCAGTTGAAATTTTAAAGTAAAAAATGTAGTTAGTATATGCTGCTAATTGTAGAACAATATCTACTGAGTGACCAGAGATAGGACTTAAAAAAAACTAAAAACAAAGGCGGCCATGGAGGAAGTCCTCTGGTTTCCTGCAATAAACCAGAACTCTCTTTAGGTGTCAGTTTTCTCCTCTTTAGAGCAGAGGGAAATAATTTTTATCTCAGGACTGTAAGGAGAAATGAATCAAGTCATATGGTAAATAATCAATACAGAGTTTCCTTTCACACCTCTCCACATCTACAACTGTATACATGACCACGTCATGGATCAGAGTGGATTATAAAAATCAATTAATCTAAGGACTTCACTCTAGAGGTATTAACTCTTTTATATTTTTAGGAATTGCAGAAACAAATTTTCTGTAGTTTGGAAATAGCTATAAATTTGTAACCCTATAGAAAAGGATTTTAAAGACATAAAATGCTACTTAAGCCTTAATAGTAGGCTTTGGTTGATTAGAAATAGCCATCACCAAAATTCTACATTTTCAATATAAAGCTTCATATAATAAATGTTGGTAAGCTTATTGTCAATAAAGACAAAGTGTTATAATTTCAGTGTTTTTATGATAAAATTTATCATGATATTAAGGATATTAGAATTTCACATGCTTAACATATTAGAACTTGCTCACATTACTAACACATTGTTTTAATAATCTGTGCCATTGGACTGTATTATTGAAAATGAAAAGCTCTATGTGCAGTTTAGGAAAACTCTCTTTGGATGATGCCCAAGATAATATTATAACAAATCTGGAGTTAACAGAAGGTTAGATAAAAATGAGTTGCCTGAGAATTTCAATATTTTAGGATCATCACTAGCCTAAAAGTATTTTTACTCCTCAACATTTCTTGGTCTTTTAATCAAACACACTGCCTAACCTAGTTAAAATCTAATATTCTGTAAAAACGTGGTATAGTTGTTTTAGCTAACAGGAACTTAAAAGAGGTAGATACTAGCAATTCAAGGTCATACCGCACAGTCAAGCATCAGAGAAAGGTTGAGAGGAAAAAGCTTTTTGCACTGATACTATACCACCATTTAATTCAAAAGCATAAAAGTACTTCATATTAACTATAAAATTATAATATAGTTTTGATATTCAAATTGCTGTGTGCATCCTTTCATGCTACATGAATATATATTACAAAAGCCAAACATTGACTTACTAAGATCAAAGAAATGTTGCCAGAAGGCTTCCATCCATTCCTGAAGATCTTCTTTATTGTCAGCTGCAAAAATATGAGTTATAGCCTGTCCATGAACAGGGTTGAAGACAGAGAAATTATGGATTCTATTCTTGATATCGTTATCCAATGCCTGTATTCTGGTTTCCTAAAAATTAGACAAAGTTGGTGTTTTAGAAGAGAATATTTCTGTAATGATCAAATATTTTATTGCTTCACTAACATATTTTACATGAATGCAATTATCATCATGCTGATCATGTGAGATTTAAAATATGTAATTTTGACAATTTTCAATATTCAAATTTAAAACTAGGTTTTAAAAAATGCTTTATAAACATACTGAAAATGTTTCAAAGTATGCTACGTATAGCATTTAAGTTAAATTACATGAGATTAAAACGTAATTTGTAGATCTGCCTCAGTTTAAGAATTTTCTGTCTTTATATATGTAAAATCTGCAATAAAATAAGTATAACATATCATAACTGGAATGTGAATATATACTTCTAATAGCAATGAAACAGAAAAATGGAATATACTGTTTCTTTTTCTAATATTCACAATATACAGGGTTATCAGTTAAAAAATGAAAGTAAAACAGTATTTACTGAAGCAAAATAGCTAGATTTTCTTTATTAACATACATTTCATATGTAAGTTATTTATGAAGCTGATAGCAAAAGACCATAGGATAATATGATTCTCATAATTATGAAAATCATTTTCTTAAAATTCGGAATGCAACAATCTATAACAAAAGCAATGGCTTTATTTGTATTAATAGTACAAATGCCTCTCCCCACCCCCACCCTGAGTGTTACTATATATAACACTGTGGTGATGCTTATCAAGTCTATGTTACAGGAGGAAAAGTCTATTCCCCCATTACCCACAGTGCCTGCAACATGGCAAGCTAACAACTACGCAAAGTTTCCCACTTGGGAGAAAAGGTCTATTATGCAAAGACAGGGATTTGGGGTGCATGGTTAATGATGATATTATTTTATAATACTATCCATTAGGAATACAATGATAAACATTAGATTTTCTAGTAATCTCATTTTAAAAAGGTAAAATATAAAACTGGTAAAAATTACATAGTTATTACATTATTTTAAAATATTTTATATAACCAAAAAATCAAAGATTTTAACATGCAATCAATAAAGCATTTTTGGAATATTTTATATTCTTTTTTTCAAACTAAGTCTGAACTCTGTATTTACAGCACATATCAGTTCAACCCAATCATATTTTAGGTATCCAACAGGTGCTAGTTGCTAGTGAGTACTACATTAGGTCAAACAATTCGAAAGGAATATGGTTAAGTCTATAGTGATGTATGCAAAAGAAAATGTAGCTGGGTTAAAAAAAAAAAAGGGTAAATACAGATAGGTGAAAATCATATATACTATATAAGAAACTCTTTTTCTGAAGTAAGAATTCTTTATTTTTTGAATTATAAGGTTGTACGCCAAAAACCTGTAATAAAACAATGTTATTTCAATAACACTGAAAATGTTACAAAAGCAGATTAAGAACGGGAAGAAAATTTTTATTTCATTGAGTATAGAGTAAGAAATTTTATCTATAGTTACACAACAAAACATAAATATCCAAACAAGGAAATCTATATGGGCATTTTAGCAGCAGCAAAGAGACAGGAAGAAAAACTGTCCAGTTTTTGAAAATGGTAAAATATAAGACAGGTAAAAAATGGGTAAATACAGGTCAGTGAACACCATATATATTATATAAGAAACTGCTTTTCTAAATAATTTTTTTTGAATTGCAATGTTGTACACCTGAAATATCTGTTGTAAGACAATGTTATTTCAATAAAAATTTTATATACAAAAAAATGACAGAATCCTTATTCAAGTCATGACAAAATATGTATATATATACAGTATATATAACAGCAAAATAAATGTGAAACTTTGAAGTATCACTAACTATAAAGATTGATAACCATTTTAGTGCCAGTTTATTCTGTCTTTTAAAATATATAGGAATGCGAGTATTTTCAGGGTACTGTAATGGATTTATGGCCAGCACTACAATTTTATCATAATCTTTTTACATTCCTATGCCTTGGTAATAAACTTTGTGAATTAGCTCTTTTAAGTAATTATAGAATATGAAAAATGCTGACCTAAATGGCATTCCTGTCTGAAAACACAAGTAGTTAGCTTTTTTCAATACCAAGTTTGTCATCACTGGAAAGAATGATGTAAAATTTAGGAAAATTCTTTGATTTGCTTCTTTATCAAACTAATTGAAGGCTAACTCAGGAGAAGTTAAGGGGATGCTCTATTACTGTATTTAAAAACAAGCAAATATGAGAATTCTCATTACTAAAACTGCTTCTCTCCACTAAAGTCAAATTTAATGCAAATTTCTGGCTACCTTTTGTATAGGGGATTTAAGTAAGGAAAGTGATTTTATAGATCAAAACTATGTACATTTTTGTTAGTACTATCAACTCAAGTGAAAGTATTATATAAAAAATCTGCTGAATTGGATCATTTACACCCTAAGAGAATATAATGCAACAATATATAAATGCTATATTCTTCATTAACTCTACATAAACCACTACATTTGAAACTACCAGTTTTTAAGAAGTACAAATGAGATATAGAATGATCACATGAGTTAATTTCCAAATAATTTAATGGAAAATTTTAAACCAAAGAATTGCATGTCAAAGAAAAATGATCAAATAAGTCAAGTTTCTAATAATACTAGAATAGGATATGTTAATGTGTGCTAACAATTGAAAACAAGTATTTGTCATTAGATGTAGAAAAGTTCAAGCAAGCTGTTTTTCAGTGTGGGCAAAGTATTGATAAAAGTGCTCATGATTTCATATCTAAAACAATGGATTAGAAAACACAAAGATAAATTTCAGGAGTTATTACTGTGGGCTTAAAGCTGTATAGATGAAGTAAATATCTCACCTTAGCAGGGTACTTGGTATTCCCGCCCCCACCCCATTTCTAACTGTTACCCAATAAGTGATTTTAAAATATTTGATGCATAAATGAATAAGCTACAGGAAAAGAAAAAATATATATATTTTATATACTGACTCAAGTCTGAGAGACATGCTCTAATCCAACTCTTAATTTATAGATGAGAAACTTTAAGTTCCACATGAGTGTTTTCTGTTTTACTTTTGCTAGTACCAAACACTTCCATTGACTTGGAATGCTTTAAACTCAACATTCATTATTTTAGGATAAATTTGAGAATATTCACTGTAAAATTTAAATATTTGACTGGCTTCACTTTTATTAATCAGCATATATTGAACTTCCATCACAATCTTCTATTGCATATGACAGATGCCTAGAGAAAGCCAAAGGAAGTCAATAAAAATGTAATCTGATGTCAATTTTGTAACAAAATATAATTAACTCTGAAGGCTGTTGATTATTTTGAATAAACCAACCTTGCTATTTCCATTAGGAAATTACTATATCAAGCCTAGACTTATGAATTATTTTTTACTTGATCTTTACTATGAGATATTTAAAAAGTCTATGGACCCAGGATATGATCTCTATGTACTCTTTCCTACTAAACAGGCTATTAGAGAAATGGACAAACTAAGGTCAGAAAATGTATTCAATGATCTTGGCACATCATGTCCTACCAGAAACAAGAGAGTACTAGGTTGATAGCAAAAGGACTCAACAGCCAACTTGAAAAGGCTTGCAGCAGCTAACCATAGGGTAATCTGAATAGTAAGAATTGCCATGCTAATGGGCTGACATACAAAATGTCTTTAAATCTATAACTTCACATTGCTATTTAAAACTTTCTTATTGGTTACCTTTGCAGGATGCTAGAGAATCACTTCACTGTGTTGTAACTATTTTATAATACAAAAAAAAAAAAAGCATTTATCCTGTTTTTCCTATTAGAGTTGCACCTTAACCAAAGAACCAATGCATAGAAGTATCTTTATAAACAAAGAATGTCAAAGTGTCATCACTGTGCAATCACCAATGAAACAAAGGATCTAAGTAATGCTCATCAGTGTGTTTTAATATCAGACATACAGTATACCTCCAGACAAAAGTAGGCATTTTCTATGACATATCAGCTAATGAGAAAAAAAAAAAAAACCTTCACAAATCTGATCTAAAATATGGGGGGAAGAGGTAACTGGAAGGTTCAATCAGCAAAATTTAGACTGTGAGAAACCTTATAGAAAAATGACACAAATTCTTCAACAAATAAAATGTGTGTGATTGTATTTATCTGTTATATGTGACAGTGAGGAAGAGGAAAAGAGACAGGAGGAGGGAGTAAAAGGAGTGGGAAAGGAGAGAGAAAGAGAATAAAAGTAAGTTAATAAATTAAGAAGTCAATAAATCAAGTGTAATGTATGACCCTTATTTGGATCTGATTTTCAAGAAAAATTGTTCAAAATTTACAAGACTGGGAAATTGAACAGTTTAGATTCTTGATGACATAGTGACTATATATGGTTATTTTCTTAAGGATGACAATTGTAATACAAGTAAAATAATGTGATTTTTAGGATTTGCTTCAAAATAATCTTAGTGTTAACATGTTATGAGTGCCGATGGACTCACTTGTACTGTTCTTCTTACAGATTATCTTGAAATTTCCCAGAATATTAATTTTAACAATAAGACTCAAATACAAAAACAAAATTCCTGTTTTTCTCATATATGCTGCAGAGATAACTCTATTTCACTCATACCTACCTTGCAAATAAATGAAAGGTATTTGATCTAAAGCCTTATCAGGACTAAATACAAAATGTTACAATCTACAAACAAGTCTAGAAGACACATGTAAAACATAACCATAAGTTAAACCAAGTATTACATATGATTTGTATTAGTGTGATGTAATTGTTTTCAATTTATGTCAATGAAATCAGATGTAAATTCCTAAGGGAAAAGGCTATTTAAAAAATATTTCTGATATATTTAACATGGAACTATCTGAATAGTTCGCAGGGTTCAGCTATGAGGACTAACACAATCAGAAGAAAATCCCATGTGCTTCATTGTAATCTTGCCTGCCAGGAAGTTTATGTACATTTTTAAATACAATGTCTAAAAATATTTCAAGACAAATTACAAGGATCTACCATACCAA